GGCCTTCTAAAGAGCAGTCAGGGTTGAACTCCTCTAGGACTGACTGGTTTGATCACCTTGCGGTCCAAGGGACTCGCAGGAGTCTTCTCCAGCACCACAGCTCAAAGGACTCCCTTCTTTGGCGCTCGGCCTTCCTTATGGTCCAACTTTCACAGCCATCCATTGCAACTGGGAAAGCCATAGCATCGACTATACGCCCTAGTTTTCCCATTGCTTTCCTCCCCAGGAGCGAGCATCTTTTAATTTTAATTTCTTGGCTGCACATATATACACACAAACAAGCTCAGCCCACTGTATCCTGCACAAAAACATTGAGGTATAAAATTGCCACAATCTAAGTCCTGGCTGAGGTCATGTCGGCCACATGACCACGGAGACGTCTTTGCACAGCGCTGGCTCTTTGGCTTTGAAACGGAGATGAGCACCACCCCCTGGAGTCGGGAATGACTAGTATGCATGTGTGAGGGGAACCTTTACCTTTATAGCTATACAACACTTTAAAACAGTGTTTCCCAATCTTGGCATCTTTAAGTTACCAGTAAGTGGACTTCAACTCCCAGAATACCCCAGCCACCCGGGATGGCTAGGGAATGCTGGGAGTTATAGTCCACATACCTTAAAGTTGCCAAGGGTTGAGAAACACTGATTTAAGAGATGAGGCATGCAAGGTCAACTCTCCTAGACTGGCAGTAGGAAAAGTTGAAGAACATAATCATTGGGTGGGTTTGTGTAGAAAAAAAAAGTTTTAGTTCTTATAATATTTGCACATGGTGGAAGCCTTAATATGTCCTGCTGGGTTTCAAAAGGAGCTAAAACAAATAAACTTCTTACTCTTTTTCCCCCTCTAATCAAGATTAGAGAAACCGATAAGATTACTGTCAATGTTTTTTTGCTGGTTATTTTTCTCATCTTGATGACAGCTGCCTCGCCTTAACTGGTTAGGGAGCACAGTTAAGGCTACCTGGAGGGGGGAGGTCTTTCATAATTCACCTCCTGCTCTCTGTTCATCTTTCAGAGCCCCCCAAGGAGCAGCCCCATGACCCCTTCACTTACGGTAAGTTAATCATTCCTGAAAGCTTGTCTGGGGCCTTGGGAGCCAGTGCAAATTGCTACAACCCTCAGAGTTAGGAAACAAAGCACAGGATGAAGAAAAACAACAACTCGGAAGGATTCCTCTGTTTTTATTTAATTTGGAAACAAGCAGATCAGGGGTGGGTTCCAGCCGGTACAGCCCGGTACGGCTGTAATGGTAATAGTCGGGAGCAGCAGCCACCGTATCGTTACGGTGGCTCATTTGGCCCACCCGCCCGCTTGCATTCCATACCTGTTTTTGAAGCAACCGGGCCAATCGTGCAGACGCGTACAGTGTGCGACACCAACGAGCAGCTGGGTGTCGCAGGGGCGGTGGAGTGCGCATGTGTGCACAGCGCACGTCCGGCGCATGCACACCGCACGTCCGGCGTGTGCATGAACAGACCACGAGCAGCGTACCAGTAGCAATGGTAGGAGCAACCCGCCACTGAATCAGATGATTCTTTAGCCCCAATAATGCTTTAGAGAAGGATCCCTTTTCTTCAGGCTTTCTAGCATTCGAAAGTATTTCCAAAGTATTTCTAGTATTAGCCAGTATTAGACCTTTGGATGCAAATGTAAGGAAATGCCTTTGTTGTCCTTTCCTCCCCAACTCACTGCTTTGCGAAGTTAATAGGGCAAACAATCTAGATCAGTGTTTCTCAACCTTGGCAACTTGAAGATGTCTGGACTTCAACTCCCAGAATTCCCCAGCCAGCGAATGCTGGCTGGGGGATTCTAGGAGTTGAAGTCCGGACATCTTCAAGTTGCCAAGGTTGAGAAACACTGATCTAGAGGAAGATAAGTGGGGAAAGATGCCCAGAATAATTTGCTGATTTGGAACTGAAGAAGAACACCTCTGGCGTTCACTTTTTTAAAAAAAAAATTATCTCACCTTTGTTATTTTATAAATTCAAGGCAATGAACACATTCCTTGATACTCCTTCCTCCTCCTCCTATTTTTCACAAGGCAACAACCCTACGAAGTGGGTTGGGTTGAGGGAGAGGGACCGTGCCCAGCTGCCTTTCATGCCTAAGGCGGGACTGGAATTCTCAGCTTCCCGGTGATTGGCTCAAACTCACCCAGCTAGCTTTCATGCTGAAGATGGGACTAGAATACACTATGAATGCATTGGCGACATCCATTTCCCTCTACGAATTCATGGGGACTGAATCGTAACCCTAAGTAGATTCTCACCCCACCCCCAATGGGATTTCCCCAGGGGTGAAATGTTACCGGTTTGGACTGGTTCGCCAGAACCAGTAGTCAAAAAAAAGGCTACCTGTTCAGGTGAACCAGTAGTTCCAACAATCAGCTGTGCAACAATCAGCTGTGCCATGCAATTAGATTCACTAGAAAGCAGGGTTTCCTGCTTTCAAATATAAATTGCGCAGCACAGCTGATTTCACACAGCTGATTGTTGGAACTACCCATTTGCCTGAGCTGATAGCATCTTTTACTACCGGTTTGGGTGAACCTGGAGTTCTGACAATCAGCTGTGCAACAATCAGCTGTGCCACAAGATTTAGATTTGCTAGAAAGCAGGAAATCCTGCTTTCTAGTGAATCTAAATCGTGCGGCACAGCTGTTGCCCCCCTTGCCATTCTACTTACATTTGCAGACTCAGAAAAGACTTCTTAATCCCCCTTTTTCAGCGCTGCATGCACGAAGCAAACCGGTAGCAGAGCATTTCACCCCTGGATTTCCCCATGTATTTTACTATGAAATGTACGTAGAGCAGCCTCAAAATGTAATCACTTTCCTAAGCATACCAATGTGCTATGGATCCAATGGCGATGTCCATTTTGCTCTCCGAATTCATGGAAACCTAACCGTAATCCTAAGGCTAAGGGCAGAGGTGGTATTCAGCCGGTTCGGACCGGTTTGCCAAACCGGAATTGTGGGTTTGCCCACATGCCCTGGATCTATACCTTTGTGTGCAAGCGAAGTGAGCACGCATATATGCACGCGCTCATATTTGCGAATCGGGAAGGAAAGTAAGTGATTCCAACCCCTGGCCAAGGGTTTGGGCAAGAGCCCATAAAGCAGGAAGGAGAGGGATCATTGATGGAGATGAAATCATTTTCTTCTGGCCCAGGGATGGGTGGACCGCACTTCTCTCCCTTCCGTGGGTGTTTAGGCCTATAGAAATAGGGCTCTTTGTTCTAATTCCAACCTACTTTCTATTCCTCACATGACCAAGTCGTTTTTCTCCCCCACACCAGATTACTATTCGCTGAGAGTTGGAGGCTTGGTGTTTGCTGTTGTCCTTTTCCTGATGGGCATCATCATTATCTTTAGTGAGTAGCTACCATCCAGTAGTTGCCCAGGAAGGGGGCTTAGTGGGTTGGGATCAGGACACCCTTGAAGTATTGCCGAGTGTGTTCATACATCGTGGAAAGCACCGGTGAGGTTTGGTTGAGTCCGACTTCTCTCTTGTGTCTGAACCCAACTATCAGACTGTGGGATCCAAGACTTATGCCTGGGAAATAAAATGTGTCATAGGTCAGGGGTCTCCAACCTTGGCAACTTTAAGACTTGTGGACTTCAACTCTCGGAGTTCCTCAGCCAGCAAGCAAGCGGCCAGCAAGCAAGCGAGAGAGAGAGAGAGAGAGAGAGAGAGAGAGAGAGAGAGAGGGAGAGAGATGTTGATTGTAAGCTCCTTGGGGCTGAGAAGAATTGTTGAAGTGGACTACTAAACAACTTAAAAAATGATCTAGTAAAAAGAAAAGTCAGCCAAAAGAGCAACATGGAAACAAAAGCAAATAAAACATTCCCAGGAGCAAAACAAACGAGAGTTTAATTTGTGTGCATTGTTTAATGGACTGCTAAATTGGCCACACCCACCCAGTCACATGCCCACCTAACCACACCCACCCAGCTGGTCCAGCTCCCCAACAGTCTGAGGGACCATGAATTGGCTCATTTTTTAAAAGTTTGAGGATCCCCGGTATAAGATCTCCTGCTTGAGCAGAGGGTTGGACTAGAAGACCTCCAAGGTCCCCTCCAACTCTGTTATTCTGTGAAATAGTGCTTCTCACAAAAAAACCCCCACTCATCCCTGCTCAGATTCTTTTGGGGTCCTTGCTCAACTCATCTTCCTCTCTTTCTCTCCTAGGCCGGCACTGTCGTTGCAAATTCAACCAGCAGCAAAGGTAAAAATCCTAGCATAAAGTTAATTTGGAGGGAAAGTGGAACGGCGGTTATCCGAGTTGTTTCAAATGGACAAAGAAGGACAGTATGAAAAAAAAGTGGGGGAAGCCAAATAGGATGTTTTGCGATGTGGTTCAAATATCTTAATTATTTGGAGAGTTGAAACACCCTGCTTCTTCTTCTTTATTCTCTTTAATTTCCATTTTCTTTTATTATCTCCCTGCTGGGGAAGATTCTGGCCAGCACAATGATTCATTCTCTGAATTAGTCCATCTGCTGATAATTGCTTTCTTTCTGGAATGCCGAGATTGGGAGAGGGGAGAGACCGAGCATTAAAAGGTTAACTTGTAAGCATGATGTTGATAATTACCCAATAAATGAGTTTTTAATTTTGACCTTTGTAGAAATATTCAGATGATTCACCATAACTTGGAGATTTGGAAGCTGGTGGGGTGCTACCAGCAAATAAGAGTTGTGAAAATTGGGAAGAAAAGAGTATCACAGATTGTTTAAAGAGAAAGACTGGTTAATCAACTCCCTATTAACTTCAGGAAACACGGTGGCTCAGTGGCTAAGATGCTGAGCTTGTCGATCAGAAAGGTCGGCAGTTCAGCAGTTTGAATCCCTAACCGAGTGAGCTCCCGTTACTTGTCCCAGCTTCTGCCAACCTAGCAGTTCAAAAACACGTAAGAAATGCAAGTAGAAAAATAGGAACCACCTTTGGTGGGAAGGGAACAGCGTTCTGTGCACCTTCAGCATTTAGTCATGCCGGCCACATGACCACGGAGACGTCTTCGGACAGCTCTGGCTCTTCGGCTTTGAAACAGAGATGAGCACTGCCCTCTGCATAGCATGATTTAATCTTCTGCAAAATGGGATGGCCAGTTTGCAGTTCTCCAATGGACGTTTCTCTTGTATGAATGAAGCACATGAACAACCCGGAGGGAGGGAAGGCAAGAATTCCCACTGCGGCATATTGTTGCACCCATGTGTACATTCATATCTATCTATCTATCATCTATCTATCTCTATCTCTATCTCTATCTCTATCTCTATCTCTATCTCTATCTCTATCTCTATCTCTATCTCTATCTCT